TAAGACTGATAGAGCTTTTCTATCAACTAGTGAATAACAACTTCAGCAAAACGGGGGTGATCCTATCCAGTCTCCTCTACCTCCTATTTGATCCCTGATATTCCAAAGCTTAATGTTTATTGCTCATTGTCAAAAATTATTTATTATTAAACAGTAACTCGGCTCTGTAGTCCCATGATCTTCTTAGTGACAAATCCAAAGAACTCTTTCCAGTCCCTATTCCATTGAATCCCTTTGGGGCATTTGATGCTATTGTTCACGCACTATTACTTGAAACTCTTGAATTCTTAGTTCTTTTCCCTCTTTGACTCTCTTTTCAGTTTCCTTGTGTGATTCTATTGTATTTTCTCTGTTTACCTCTTATGTGTTGTTTTCAATTTTTTGCTAGCCTTCTTGTCTCTCTTTGCACTTTCGCCTTGTTTTATCTCACCCACATTTATTGCTTCAAATGCCATTATAGACTGATGGTTCACAAAGCTATAGCTCTAAGATCTCTAAGATCTTCAAATGCCTACAAACCCCCTCCACTTGAATGTGTAATGTCCAACTACTTAACAGCCCTCTCCACTATCATGTCTATAGGCATTTCAAATTCAAGTTGCAAAAAATTAATTTATCATCTCCACACTCACCACTCAACAAACTTCCTGCTTCCTCATATTTCTTATCCTCATTCAGTGTTGAATTCACAGAAATAATCATGTGAGATTGACAGTGTGATATGGTGGGGGAAAAAATATTAACTTGGAAACAGATTGCTTGAGTGTGAGTTGTATGGCTGAGTTAATAACTTACATAGCCCAGGGTAAGTCAGTTCACAATTCTGGACCTCACTTCCCTCATGTATAAAATATTAGATAATCCTATATTTACTCTTTTGTGGCAGTCTTTATTATTCCCCTTCATTCTTGGAAGATTTTAACGCCTACATTATTGGCGCACTAACCAACACTATCCCTTAGTGATTTAATCTGCTCATATTACCTTTCCAACATTCTTTTCACTTAATTCTCAGAATCCCTCTGCTCCAATGGTCATGTTCTCTAGAATACCTCAGCCACTTGTTTCTGTGGTTGAACATTAGACCTTGTCACTAAAGTTAAAACAATCCCTCTAAAATCTTAATTCCAAGAACCCATTCAAAGATCTTTCTCCACCGGACTTCTTACTTCACTGGAACTAACAACCCATTAAGCCAAATATTATTTTCTCTGACTTCCCTTCCTTCTTTCCTTCTTCCTCTCACACGCACACACACAAAAATATTTACTCACTTCTCACCTAACAAAATTCAGCTCTATGGCCAAGCCTTATGGAATTCCTTTGTGTACACCCTGAAATCTTTTACCCTTCTTTGTACTTACATGGCAAAACCCCTACTCTGAATAAATTTGGCTATTTGCCTGACCCATAACTGCTGGATGAAGGTAAAGATGGCTGGAGGGAAACACATGATTATCTAATATATCAGCAGTTCTCAACCTTCCTAATGCTGCAACCCCTTAATACAGTTCCTCATGTTGTGGTGACCCCCAACCATAAAATTATTTTCGTTGCTACTCTATAACTGTAATTTTGCTACTGTTATGAATCGTAATGTAAATATCTTTTTGTTTTCCGATGGTCTTAGGCGACCCCTGTGAAAGAGGGTCGTTCAACCCCCAAAAGGGTCGCGACCCACAGGTTGAGAACCACTGTAATATATTAATTATAAATCTCCCCTTATTGGACTATAAGCTCCTGTGGGCAGGATTCTTTCTGTTTGCTTCCCTAGTATATCCCTTGCATCTAGACACTGCTTTGCATACAGTATTTTTTTAATGAATTTGTTGAATGAATAAAGCATATGTACTGATAATTCACACAACATCTCATTGATTCAACCTGTGAATATGTAATCCATTTCTTCCACTGTAAAGAACTCATGTATTTTGGAAGAGGCCTGACTAATTTTCGGAAGGATAGATTAGTAATGCTTTGTGTTTATCTTCAAGCCAGCCCTAAGTATATTTGCAAATTATTGGATCCAAAGTTAACATTTTCACTTTGACTATGGAACTTTTATATCAATATATGATGATTTGTAGGAACCATGACATTTTCCTGCCTTAAAGCTCTGAAATAATTATATCTTTAACTAATTCATTATGTAACGGGGAAGTTTAGACTAGAATGTTACATTATTGGTGTTTTAATGATGAGAGAAGGTCAGCAAGACTCCAGTAGTCATAGCAACATGAAGTTCTTTTCATCTTTTAAGTGACCTAAGGTGACTGTTTCTTTTCTTTACATTATTATATAAGGGTTTTTCACAGAGGTAAAGTGCGTGCACTAACTAACATTCAAGTTAGGTGAAGATATTTAAGGTAGAAGCAGATACAACTACCACTGGACCCCTACAGGATCCTCCTCTACCTCCAAATAAAGGAATTTATAGCTCTATTCAGAAGTAAACGGGTTTGAAACAAGACTTGAAAATTACTTGCCAATTAAAACTTTCAACTAGGTTGAGAAGAAGGAGAACATCAATAATATGCATTCTTAATCATTAAATTAATGCCATAAAATCTTAGGGAAATGAAAGAAGTACCACTGAGACCCATATAAGTCCTAAGAAGTTCAGCCTCATTGAAATAAGACAGAAGTTCTTTAAGTAGCAGAATTTACAGGAGAGAAAGACAATGACAGAGGCTGAGACCTAAAGGCAATATAGCAAAAAACTAGTGTGAGATTGATTTTTTTTAAATGGAAGGTCATATTATTTCATTATTTTTATGTTCATGTCAAATATCTCATAATTAAAATAACTTTAAAGTTAAAAGAAAAATCATGAGCTAGGTTTAAGAAGATGGTAAATTGAAGGATGAAAGGGATTGGAAAGTTCTGCCCAAAGCTGTCTTTGTCATATATGACTTGTTCTGTTAATTAATGGATGACTGGGAAAGACTTCATCAAATAATCTATTTATCCCTGAAAGCTGTTTTCATATATTTCTAAAACTTTTTGACTTAATAGACCAAATTAATTCTTTGATGTTCATGGATGCCATGTACTTATGGACATCTGTCTTATTTTTTAGCAATCAGTAGTAGATTGTTTTTTTATTTTCATGTCCACAAGATTCATCAAACTTGCAGCTTCCATGTATCCTTCTTTTCTGCCAAATAATGGCAATAGCAACATTAATAATAATAGTAACAGGAACAACAACACATTATGCCAAGTACTGTCTTAAATATATCATATTTAATTTATTTAGTCCTCACATCCACATTATTAAGTGAGTACTTTTAGTATCCTCTCTTTTACAGATAAGGAACCCAAGTGACAGAGAAGTAAGACATTTGCCCAGGATCATAACTGGTTCTGAGGTTTGTGCTCTTAAACATTATGCTATACTGCCTCTTGATCATGGATCTAGGAAGTTAAGGAGTTCTTATGAACCCTACACTACAATTTATTCATGCTACCAATCGTTATTCTATTTCACCCTGCTCTGTGTTAGGAATGTTAATGAACAAGGAAGGTCCCATCCCTGATCCCAAGAAGAGAGAGCATTAAATAAGCAATAACAACATGAGATAAGAGCTATGGTGCTGGAAGTATCAAGAGCTGTTAATTACAGCAAGAACCATAAGCTAGTATAAGGAGAATGTGATTTCTTGCCAAACTTAGAATTTATACAAATCCTTAGAAAAGGCAAACAGCCTATAGTTGCATGCTGGTGGCAGTGAGCTCTGGATGAGTAAAGCAAGAGAAAAGGTGGCCAAGGGGTGATTAGGATCAAGCTATAATGGAAGATAAAGGAATCACACAGTTGAAAAGGCCAGCTAAAAGCATGTCACTTTGCCAGAGTCCTTGCTGGAAGGCAGGGGTCAGTTCAGGTTTCTTGTTGTGGTTGATGCAGAGATGCGCTGCCCAGAATCCCCTCCATGGAAGGACTCGCCACCTGTGTGTCGTGAGGTCAGCAACAGACTCCAGCCATCAGCTCCTCCAGGACTGCCCCAGCTGCAAAGGATGACCTTCCCTAAAGAAACCTTCTTCCTAGAGTAGCCCACAAATTAAGCTCACCATGAATAAAGGAGTTCAAATCATTACTTCATGATAAAAAAAAGTGTAATTTCTATTTTACATTAAAATATGTATACTCAGCTAATTTTCTTTGATTTCTGGGTTTTGATGTAGATAAATTTTTTGGATAAGCTTACATTACATAGTGCCCATACAAAAGTATCTAAATAGCAACTGTATGGGAAATACTTCTAAGTCCAATTCCCTTCAATGACTAGTTTGACATTTTTGTAAAAAAAAATGTTGATGTTGAGATTTTTCTGTTTCTGTGCTTGTAAAATTGGAGTTAGCTTGTGAACATTCGTGAACAGTCTACCTGAGCACAAATCTTCAAGGCTCCCACTGAAAACAATTCAGAGTTGTTTGTCACATATATCTTTTCTCCTATTCTTATTTGGCAGTGACAGAAGTCAAAGTTACCTTCCTTTGTGCCTCATTTTCAGTAGTTATCCTCAACCCATCTCATCCTCGTTCCAAATTGTTCCTTTTGAACTTAGTATCATGAAATTGGCATGATATCTAAACTCACCAGGGAATGAAAAGAAAATGAGAGAAGAGAGAAAATAAATACATAGAAAACCAGGAAATTATTATCCAAAGAGCAAATAGAAGGAACTAGTAAAAATGAAAAGCAGAAAGATGTTAAGTGTCACTGGTTCTTTCTGAAACAGCTCAAGAACAAGTCAAAAGTCCGAAAACTCTTCAGGATATATTAAGACTTACCACAATAATTTCTGAAGGCAAACAAAAAGCAATCACTTATGTTTACAGCCAGATTTCTAATTTCAACAAATTTGGACTTTTCCCATTTCCCTCTCAGAAATCACCCAAAACCCACAAGTAGAACAAGAAACAAAATGCAAATGCCATACTTGATGAATCTAGAAAATAAATAAAACCCCAAATTACTACATAAGCAGAAGGCCTACCCAAAACAGTGAAGGTCAAACAGGTGCGTAGGGAGATGTGAAAATAAGATTCCTGCAGCTCCACATTCTCAGAAAATGATGGCAGAACTTACCTTTAAAAAAAAAAAAAAGAGGGTTTTTAAAACAAACAATCCCTTGATCATGACATCAGGAAAAGGGTGACAGATTTGATGGGGGAAGCCTCTCTACCCTCAATGTCACTCTGAGGAGGGAGAAAGCAGGGCTGCACCACAGGGCACCCGGATGTACAGGAAAGTGTACAGAAAGCACTGCCCCGGTGAAGCCGCGGTGACCACGCCCACGCCCCTCCAATGATTATCAGCCCCACAGTGCTACGCCCTCTTGGTATATGAATGCTTCATATAGTACACATTCTATTTACATCTATTTATTTGTTTTAAATATTTCCTTGTTGGTAGTTTATCTTTTAAATATGTATGATATATATATATGATATATATCATATATATGATATTTATATTTATATGTATTTGTAACATATATAAATAGGCTCTTTTTAAATGTAAAATTTACCACAATGATCCTTTTGTTTTTAATTTCCTTTAATACTTTTCATCTGATGTAACACTTCCCCAGCTAGATACCTAATATTTTCTTCAATTTCCTCATTTAATAGTTTTAAACCCTAGACCTTAGATAATGTTTAATCCCACATGATTTAGCTACATTTTTCTCTAACGTCCTACTTATGCTAACAAGACGAATGATCTGGATGAAAAAATTGAAGCTATTAAAATTAGTTTAGACTTTATCAAAATTTGCTAAATCTCTAGCGCAAAACAACAAAAAAAAATACTTAAGATGTGGCCAAGTATAGAAAATGCTGAATATGTGGCCAAGTATAGAAAATACTTAATATGTGGCTAAGTATAGAGACCTGCATTCCAAGATTACTCTGGTTCTCAGGTTTTTTTGTTTTGTTTTGTTTTGTTTTCTGATCAACTAAATAATGACCTCCAAAGCTACAAGAAATATGAAATCCTAGGAAAAATAGGAAAAAGTTATGTTGGTTTTAGATTATTAATCTTTAACTCTTACATGTGAGATGAGAAGAAGGGGGCTTACTCTTTTATAAAAATTCAGGTAGGTGGTTAAGGTTCATTTATTCCACTGCTTGAAGAATCATCTTGATAGAATTCTTTGACTTAGAAAGCTTCTTCAGGGTTATGTACTCCAGGCATCCCCTGTTATCGTGCTGCGGTTAATACAGTTAAAGATGTGAGTTTAAGGCCTGAACATGCCCAGAAACTTTATAGAAAGGAAACCTCTCCTTCTTTCCAGACTAAGCTACCAAGTCAGCCATTTCATAAACTCACAATCAAATGAAATTGAGCAACCATTACTGTTGCTATAGTGAATCCACATAACAACAACAACAAATTAGGTAGATAATAACGATCAGACAATTGTCTCTGTGGAAAATGCCTTGGTCTGAACCAATTTTGCTATATTAATGTGTTCCTTCAAGAAAGGATAGTAAGAGGGGGCCGGCCAAGTGGCTCAGTTGGTTAGGAGCTCACTCAAGGGTGTAAGCTCTGGGCAACAGTGGTTTGATGCCCGGCCCGAGCTGAGCTGCCAACAGGTGGCAAGATGGTTAGTTAAAAAAAAGGATAGTAAGACAAGATAGCTTGCCACTTCTACCATGACTCTGACTCTCATACCACTTTTCTGGTTTGTATATATTTGAAATATGGTTAGCTTATCAGTAAAATGTTTGTTTTGTTTCCAAAAATGTTACATTAAAAGGGAAAGTTAGAAAATCAAGGATACTAAATCATTTTTCTAAGCCCTTGAGTAACAATGCTTGCAAGATTTATATTAAATCACATTTCCAGCAACTACATCATAATAACCAGCACTTTAGAAACAAAGAGAACAATGTGTATGCATTCTAAAAGAACCATATTTATAAATACATTTTCTTTTTTTTTAAGTTTATTAGGGTGATAATGGTTAGTAAAATTACATAGGTTTCAAGCGTATAGTTCTGTAAATACATCATCTGTATATCACATTTTGTATTCACCACCCAGAGTCAGTTCTCCTTCCATCACCATATATTTCACCTGTTTACTCTCATCTACCACTCCCTTCCCCCCTTACCCTCTGTAACCACTAAACTATTGTCTGTGTCTATGAGTCTTTGTTTCTTTATGTGTTTGTCTTGTTCATTTGTTGCTTTCAGTTTTATATCCCACATATCAGTGAAATCATATGGTTCTGGACTTTTTCTGTGTGACTTATTTCACTTAGCATAATAATCTCAAGATCCATTCATGTTGTCACAAATGGCACTATTTCATCTTTTCTTATGGCACAATAGTATTCCATTGTGTATATATACCACATCTTCTTTATCCAATCATCTAACGAAGGACACATTGGTTGTGTCCATGTCTTGGCCACCATAAATAAAGCTACAATTAACATCGGAGCACATATATCTTTGAGGATAAATGTTTTCAGGTTTTGGGGATATATACCCAGGAGAGAGATTGCTGGGTCATGTGGTAATTCTATTCTTAATTTTTTGAGAAACCTCCACACAGCCTTGCACTAATCTGCACCAGTCTTGTGGCTGCACCAATCTGCATCCCCACCAACAGTGTATGAAAATTCCCTTTTCTCCACAGCCTCTCCAACACTTGTTATTATTAGTCTGTTGATAATGGCCATTCTAACCTATGTGAGGTGATATCTCATTATGGTTTTTATTTGTATTTCTTTGATGATTAGTGATGGTGAGCACCTTTTCATATGTCTGTTGGCCAACTGTATGTCCTCTTTGGAGAAATGTCTATTCAGGTCCTCTGCCCATTTTTTAATTGGGTTGTTTGCTTTTTGTTGTTGAGTTTGAGTTCCTTATATTTTTTGGATATTAGCCCTTTATCGAAGGCGTTGTTTGCAAAAATCTTCCCCCATTCAGTTGATTGCCTCTTTATTTTGTCAATGGATTCTTTTGCTATACAGAAGCTTTTTAGTTTGATATAGTCCCATTCATGTATTTCAGCTTTTATTTCCCTTGCCTTTGAGGTCAAAATCTTAAAATCCTCTTTGAACCCAAGGTCTATAAGTTTAGTATCTATGTTTTCTTCTATGCAGTCTATTGTTTCAGGCCTTATATTTAGGTCTTTGATCTATTTTGAGTTAATTTTGGTACATGGTGAAAGATAGCAGTCTAGTTTCATTCTTTTGCACGTGGCTTTCCAATTCTCCCAGCACCATTTATTGAAGAGGCTTTCTTTTCTCCATTGTATGTTTTTGGCTCCTTTGTCAAAAATTATCTGTCCATATTTGTGTGGGTTTGTTTCTGGGTTTTCAATTCTATTCCATTGGTCTGTTTTATAAATATATTTTCAATTAACAACCTAAAAAAGAAATCAACTTGGGCTGGCCGAGCGGCGCATTGGTAAAAAGTTGGCTTGAGATGCCAGCTCTGAGCAGCAGGGCTCCAGTTTGGATCCCATATGAGGGCCAGTGACATGGCGCCCTCTCCAGCTAAGATGGTGAACAATAGCTCAACCTGGAGCTGGGCTGCTGTGGGTTGCTGGCGACAGTGTAGGCTGCAGTGGGGCTGGCCGGCAGCTGGCATGCACTTTCATGAGCTGCCATGAGCCGCCGTGAGCGGCTGTCCAATGTCTGGCGGCCGACTGCCTCACCCGAGAAGAGCGCAAAGATAATACCAACATGGGCCAGTGAAGCAACGTCCTCCACAACTAGACTGAAGAACAAAAGCGCAGCAACTTGTCTGTTTCCCTTCCCTGATTCCCCAACGCTGTTCCTCTCCCACAATTCCCCAATACAAAATCTTTACAAATAAAAGAGAAACCAACTTGAATATGGTTTCAAATATTTGAGAAAGAAACACTGACAATATTGTTATATAAGTTGTATTGCATAAAACAACTTTATTCATTAGACAAATATTTATTGAGCACTCGCTATGTGCCAGACCATTGAACTACATCCATGAATTAAACAAGCAAACATTCCTACCCATGATCTTTGTGAGAAATTGTTCTATATCTTGACTATGATCATGGTTACACAAATCCACACACATGATCCAATTGCATAGAACTAAATACGTACACAGAAATGAATTCATGTAAAATTAGTGAAATCTGAATAAGGTGGATGAATTGTATCACTGTCAATTTTCTGTTGTAATATTGTACAATTGTTTTATAAGATGCTACCAGTGGAGGAAGCTGGATGACAGGTATACAGGATCTCTTTGTATTATTTCTTACAACTGCATATGAATCCACAATCATCTGGAAAAAAAAGGATTTTAAAAATTCCTTACCCTCAGAGTTTAAATTCTAGTGGCCAGAGACAGAGGAAAATCAACAAACATAGTAAATAAGTAAGTTACATAGTTGGTTAGAAGATTATTAAATATTATTTAAAAAAATAGGGCAGGTGAGGGGAGCCAGTTGTATCCTAGGTCTATTATGAAGGTGATAGTTGAGCAAATAAGCAAATACAGATTGGAGTTTGCCTGTGGGAAAAGCATTCAGTAGTGGGAACAACCACTGCAAAGTCTCTAAGGTAGGAATGAACTTGAGTGTTTGAGAGAAGCCAACTGAGGGAGCAGAGGAAGAGCAGCAGATGATGAAGTCAAAGAGTTACAAAGCACCAAAGGGTGGATGACCTTGGAGGCTACTGTAGGGACTTTAGCTTTTTCTCTGAGTTGAGAAGTCTTTGGGAGGTCTCTGATGGAGAGGCATATTTGTAAAGGATCACTCTGGCTCCTATGTTGAAAACTGAGTGTAAGGGAGTAACAAACAGACACCTGTCAAGAAGCTAATGCAGGCATCCAGAAGAGAGAAAATAATTGCTTACATAAGAAACTTAATGAGAACGATGACAAAATCTAGCAATTTACTACTCCAGTACCCTAACTCGCACATTAGTGCCTAATATGACGATTACAGCTTCCACAAACTCACAATATATTTCCAAGGAGAATTCTATATAAGTAGATTATGCAATGCCTAATTTGCATAAATTGCAAATTTTGCTCTACCATGGGAAATCATAAAGCT